AGGGGTTCTCATCCGAGGCTTGTTGGAATTTTTCATTGTTCGAGGTTTTAACGTAGCGCTATCCAAACCCATGGCATGCGAAGTTTTACGCCTTCTCACTTTAGCTGGGTGTTTGGTTGCTACCCAGAGGATACGTGGATATAAATATCAGGACGTTGTGAGCTGCCAGATGAATGGCAGTCAAAAGTTTTCCGCTTCTGCGCACGGATCCATCCTACAAATATGTACTTCCAGTTATGGGATATTTCACCATGGCAGAAACTATCCTTAGAGAGGCATGAGTTCGAAACCCAACTGACTTACTTATGCAGGACAACTGAAATTCGTAAAAAAGCTCAATTGGATGAAGTGGAACCGGTAGCCTATTACGATGATGTGGATATATTATTAACCACATTAAACTCACATCGACAGCTGTTATAGATATTCTCTGCTCTGGACGTTGCTTTGGGCCAACTAATTCGCATGCGTCATAGTTCACTGCCTCAGTTAAAGTGGACGTAAATTGACTCTTGCACTGAGCTGATTGTGCGTTGGGCTTGGCTTAGCTTGGCGGCCGCCTTCTGACTGTCATTGCTGCTGCGGAAGTAATTTAACATTTCACTACACTGCAATAAACAAAGAGAAAAATGTTGCTCTGCTATTTACCAGCGCAATGTGGGGAATGCTTTTGTATTAAGTACTTTTGACTTCATTTCGCATTCGCAGAGTACAAAATGTAGCAACAAAAAAGAGGCATTAAGCGCTTGCTAGCGTATGAACTCGAAAATGTGCCAACTTTTTAGTTCCTTTTGCCCTCTTCACTTAAGACTTATTAAAATTTCCTCTTCCTTTTGGCATGGACAAAGAAACCCGAACTATGTACAAATATACAGATGTATATACATATGTGATATATAAACATATTAATACATTTTCAAGCGGCTTTAACTGTACAAACTTGGCCTGGTTTTGTGATTTTTGTGTGCACAATAGCGGAATTAGCCGAGAGCAAGCATATGCGAATGTATGTATGTATGTGTGTTTATACAAAGAGTAAGCACGAAAAAGCGCTTAAAGCATATTATACGTACACAAACAACAGTTATTATTTAATTTTAGCTGCTTTTTTTATTTTACATACATACATACATACTTTTTTTCCGTTCAAGCAAGCAGCATTTGTAAGTCTCAAAAACTTTTGTTTGCAAACTGAAGCCAAATTTCTTTCTGCCTTTCTGCTTAGTTGGCAAATTTATCCGATTTTATTTCTTACTCCGTTACTTCGTTTACTGATTTAACGTTTTTTTTTTTGTTTGTTCCACTTTTGGCTTCCCAGCTGGTGGGTGTTTGTTTACGAGCGTTGTGACCGAAATTTGATAAACTTTTTCTCATGCCGCGGCTTTTGCGTCCATGGAAAGCAAGACAATTATTGGATTGTGACATAAAACCCACACGCCCAGCGAAATGCCATCATTGGATTGCCTGTTTTTGGAGGGGAACTATCACTCGCACCACTTACATACGTACAGACATACACTTTGGACACAATAATATCTTAATTACTATTTAATTGCATAATATTTATGCATATTTAATGCGCGTATGTGTGACGCTAACGTACGTAAATATGCATATTGTTTTTGCTCTTGTGGTTGTTTTTGTTTATCGCAAAAGTTGATCTACTTAAGCGCTGAAGCACATCCAGCGTGTTTTACCTACAAAATAAAGAAATCCAAATTTTTAGGGGTCGTTTCCAGGGTTTGATTTTTTCCTCCTAAATTCGAAAAAAAAAATTTCTCCTAAATTCGAAAAAAAAATTTGAATTCTGGTAAATTTTACATATTATATTAGTGAAACTTATTCGTCTGAATTTATAAACTCGCCGAGCTATAGCTGGTAAAATTTCAAATATTTTTCGAATTTTTGCGATTTAAAAAAAAATTAGTTTTTTCTTAACCCTGTTGGCGACACCTAAAAATTTTTTAGGGATCGTTTCTATGGTTTTAAAAAATTTAAATTTTTTAAGTCCCCTAAATTCGAAAAAGTTGTTTACTTGAATTCTGCTAAATTTTACATACTTATTATTGAAACGTATTCATGTGAACTCCTAAACTCGCTGAGTTGTAGCATGTAAAGTTCTGGATTTATGCGATTCAAAAAAATTCAATTTTTTCAAAACCCTGTTGGCGACACCTAAATTTTCTTTTTAATTGTCTTTATTTTGTACGTAGAACATAATGTTGATGGTTAAAGACCATCCTAGTGCATATGTATGCATGCGGTTTTATTCGACAACAGCTTTGAAATGCTGGAAAATCGCATTAAAAAAGTTTTTATTGCGGTGACACTTGTCAAAGCAGCAAAGCTTGAAAACGCTTCTAAAAGTTTCATTTTCCCTCTCAAACCTTTTCGTTTAAGCACGTTCGGTAATAATGCAATTATAATTTATATGCAACAAGTTTATAATTAAATTTCTATTCAGACATTTTGTGATTGCATGCATTTTGATATGTAAGTAACATTCAACATCGGCACACAGTGTTTTGGGAGCGGCGAAACCCCCTTACAGCAACCGATTTCCACAGCAATAAGTGTGTAACTACTTTGCGCCAATAGCTACTATTGGGATTGCAACGCTCATTTATCCCTGGTTTAACTATTGAAACAAGTTCCAGCTGCTAGAACTTGCTAGGCTTCTTTCTGTTCCACAAATAACCTGATGAAGTCTCTGCGATCAGCAGAACCCGAGATGTAACGATCTGAAGAAGTACATGATTAGTCAGAATCACGAAAAAATCCAAACTTTGACAGATCATATCTCCCAAGAAAAAAAAAATAAGAAAAAAATTCCTCGAACACGTGTTAGCTTATTTCATGTATAGCACCCGCAAAAAAATAAAATTAAGCGAATCGAAGAAATTAAGTAATTTTTTTACGAATTCCGTCCGACTTAAAAAAGAATGGCTCATCGATGAGCGAGAATGCCGGTCAATCAACCAATTATATTGTGTTCGATGATGAGACCTCAAATCAGAGGAGAAATGTCATGCACACCTATTAAACTTTGCTCTTTTAGATACCATCGCTCTCTCGACTTCTGTCCATTACATGGAAATGTAACTGGCAACGGCACTAACATTTAAGTAAAACCTCGCAAAACCAGTTTTAATTAGCAGCAGCGACTATAATTGCTATTGAGGAGAGCCTTCATTAAGTTTGTACGTAAATTGCTGTCTTTGGCAAAAGCTTATCTATCATTAAAAATAGCGAATATTAATTGTTATTCAGTGCTTTGGAAATTCCCGCTGGCTTCTTAATAGCTTTATAATAAACCAAACCATATCTTTAGATGAGTCTCGCAAGCGAGGGGAAAATGCGGTAACAGCTTAGTGAAAATTGTATTTTAAACAAATGATTAATGCAAAAATATCAACGATTATGATAAGGAAAAAATCTGTTAAGTTTACTAAGACAATAAAATTCACAAGACGTCAAAAGCGTCGCAAAGCCTTTTAGTCGGTAAAATTTTTCAATGTAAAATACTGGGTAAATGGGTTTTAGGGCATCCGCAGGGTAAAATGGGAGCTAATTATATATTTTCTATCAATTAAAAAAAAAAAAACGTTTTGCTTTAGTTACAAATCCCTATAAAAAAATTTGCCTTGATTTTACTTAAAAAATGTTTACTATTTTAACAACCGGATTTCACCAGCAATTGAAATGGAAAATGATTACTTATTTTCTGACAATTTCTATATAAAATTCAAAAAATTAAAATCATTTTTTTACTTAAATTACTCTCGTGAAATTGGCTGTAAGAATTTACGACGCTTACGACATCTTGTGAATTCCCTAAGTATAACATTAATGTTGTTTATAGATACCGGTTAGCAAAACATTTTCTAGTCTTTGGTAAGCGAACATTTTTCTTAAAAATCAAGATTTTTTATAGCCTATTATGTTTTGTATAACAAAATGTATGTTTTTTATTTTTTTTTTTACGTTTCGAGCACGCTTTGCGGATAATTAGAGAAATTATTTTCAAAATAAAAATAAAAAATTAGTGAAAAATTCCAAGTTCAAATTTCAACGTATTTCATTTTGGGAAACCCTTTAATCATGGTACAATAAATACAGGTATTGTCTTCCCAGAGTGTTTTGCTTCACATCGAAATTCATGCTCCCTTATTTTCGTTTTGACGCAGTTCAATGTTGATTCTTTTACTTTTACCTGGCTTTGTTTTTACAGTAAACCTTTTAGTTTACAGTAAACCTTTTAGTGCAGGCAACAATGATATTTTTCAAATAAGGCAGATCGGAATATGCGCTCTCTGGGAAAACAATACCTGTAATTATTGAACCCTTTAATAGTTTTTAGTAAGTAAAGTTTTTTTAAGTAAAATTCATTAACAGGAACAGAAGAAGAAAACTGCTACTTTCTCTGTATTTTGCAAAAAAAAAAATGTATATAAACAAATAAAAATTCGAAAATTGGACTTAATCAGAATCTCTTGGCAAATCAGTTAACAATTGGAGGCTCTACGCTTATTTGGACCGTACTTTTTGATTTTAGACCACTGTGTAGTGGCTGCAAGGGTCCGAACACACACTGAGAAAAGAACCTACTGAAGCTATGCTACAATATTGTGGCGTAAACTCATTATCTTGACTACTGTGTAAAAACATTTAGTTTTTCTAGTAGCTCGTTTCTGCATAGAAATAATCGATAGGGAAGAGTTGCAGAGACGAGCTACTGGTTAGAGTAGAATGAAGAATAAATAACCTTTTAACCAAGGTGAATGTGAGATGCAAGAAACTACTTGTTAGAAGTTGTTTTATGTAAGGGCAATACGCTACGTCTCCCAGCGATATCGTCAGATTCAAGTTACACAAAAAATAGGATTATATTTTAATTTCTGCTTATTCATTGTTGTTATTAAATAGCACTTAAACGTACATATTTATAAATAATAAACTGATAATAAAGTGACTGTCGTTTTTTTCCATTTACAGCGTTCGTTGCATGAGGTCAAACAGATGATATTTTTCTGAGAATTGCAAAAATTAACAAAACAGATTATTCGCATCTTATCACATGGGGAAAATTTGACTTGAAATCCCAGATAATCTTAAAAATAATAAAATACAAAGTACATATAAATATAATCAATAAAAAGGAAAAAAATACTCGCAACCTACATATATAAGAGTGATTGAAAGCAAAACATGCAGTAAAAAGACTAAAGATAATATTATAAATCTTAGCAGATTTTTCTGGCATTTGTGAAATTTTAAAGGTAAGTTACAACTTATGAGCACATATAAGTATGTTAAACAAAAAAAAAACAGAGCCCTTTATTTCCTTAAGCTGGAAAAATTTTTGAGAATTTCGAATAACTTTTACGAAATCGTCAAAAGAATGAATATTCTTGTTGTTTTTAGAAATTCAACCCAAATAAATGTTATACAATTTTAATTTTGTGGAGGGTATCTTAATAGCATTTTATAGAGGGGAAATATTTAAATAGATTTTATTCGCGACACTCACGATAAAAATTAAAAATGCAAGTAATCCATTAATTAAATACATTTCATATTAATTTTTTTTAAGGAATTATCTGCAAGAATCAAAACCGTTTGTTCTTTTGAGAAACCGACGATTTTTTTGGGTATTTTCGTTCGACAAAAACAAAAAAATACGAAAGACGGGCATCAGAAAACCGCATAATTTTTAAATATCACTTGGCTATTTTAACACTTAAATCGAATAGATCCGAGTTTCAAGTATTCCAACCTCTAAATATTTTTCCACTAGGTAAATGGGTTTCCAATAAGGGCGGGTAGATATGGAAATGGATTGGTGTGAAACAAACTGTGAGTGAGTCTTAAGCTCGTTTCCACCGGCATTTTTTCATAGTTTCAGATGGCGAAATATTTACCGAAATCAGTTCAGAAAACTATTCCAAGATTCAATCATCCAACTTATACATATGTATTACTTCTCGAGTGAAACTACATATTAGTTTTTAGCGTTTTTCCGTTCTTCACTTAAATGCTTAAAATAGTTTTAACAAAATTTTCCATTTAACGCAGCCAACTTGAAAAATTTGTAATCGTTTGTCCTTCATGCCTAAAAACTAAAAAAATAAAAATCTACATTGTTGCTGCTTTCAGTGCTTCTGTACATTCAAATTCAAACCCTTGCGCAAATTTTACGCAATCACAACTCTTTCACTTCCCGCTTTATGCACCTCAGCATGATTGCGCTTAAATTTTGCACACAAAGTGCAAAGTGATATCCACAAATGTTTTACCATCAATCGTCTGACACAAATGAAACATAGCATCATTATTCATATTTGTTCTCAAAGAAAACTTAGGGAAAAGCAAAGATGTAACCCTATCAAAGTTGCTTGCAGCTGAACTCCCTGCCACACATGTTTATGGTTAAATTGTGCGCCAACATATGACTGCCGTCTTAACCATGACTATGAATATATGTTCTTGCTCACTAACCACATGTATGTGTGTGTGGCTCCCTCATGCTCAGTGTTTTTTTTTTTAGCCCCACTTTAACTATCAGTTTACACCTGAGTAGCACAGGTTGCGCGAGGAACTTCGAAATAGTTCAGACGTTAGGAAGGCTGCTCAACTCATCTCGCCACGCTTACATACACGATTTCTTACCGCTTGCATGCTCTCCTCTCATCATCACACCATCATATTTGGATTCATGCATGCTATAATTCTTCCATCTCAAACGTAGTAAGATTAATGACACCTCAGCTGGAAATGATGTGCATATGAGTACTACATTAGGGTGGTACAAAATTTTGTGATGTGTAAACAAATTCAGCCTTATAATGAGTTTTAGTCTCGCCCGTTATCGTTCACTTCCCTTTCCCGCTTATGTGTATTCACTCAGGATAAGGCTGATTTGCTCCCAGTGTGGGCAAAATTTACGTAAATCGTCACGCGTAAACCAATAAGAATTTAGAAGAAGTACAAATGAAAAATAAATTGAACGGCTGTTCTAGCAACACTCTTTATTGATATAATTCGGAACTATTTCGGGTCGGAAATTTTTCGGGCCTAGTTTGGATCACGGATGGTATCTACACATCAAATTTCATGAGTGCCTGGTACTCGCGCTTTTTTCCAGCCACCTAGAACTGAAGAATATGGAGAATTTTTTTTAATTGGTTAACATTTAACCGTGACGGCGGTCTTTGAAAAAACAATTAGTAAAATTTTAGAGTTAAATTTGCATCGTAGTTCTATTGCTGGAATATTTCTGAAGGGAAATATTTTTATTCGGTCGAAAAATATTTATTTTAAACGATTTTAAAGCAATTCAACGAAAAAAATTTATTTCCCGCAAATAAAATGTTTTGAAAACTGCAAAACCGCGGCAGCACAGTCAAATTTTAATTGAGTCCATAGTAAAAAAATACCTACTTTCCATTTTATTTATTTCTATGGGTGGCAGCAAGAAAATTCCAAAAAGTAGAATTTCCTATGCATTTTTGGACCGCCCTAAGGTGAATATGTGTTGGCCGCGACAGCTTCTTTACTGGTGCTACAGCACCTGGGCACAGCTAGCAAATAACTATGGGTTCTCAAATACATACATACACATGCAAAAATATATTAGATATGCATGTGCATGTTCGGAGCACTGCACCTTCTCTCCTCCAAGTATGTATTACTTTATCTAATTGTACGTGAATATAGTTGCTCGAGTTACTCATAAATTAAGTAGGTATCATTTTCGAAGTGAGAATATTTTTGCTAGTATGTAAATACATATTTTATAGTTAGAAACTTGTCCGCGTGCGCTTCCATTGCGCAGCCAGGTGGCAGCAACTCGCTATCATTCGCTTTTTCCCACAGACATCTGTAGTACATAAGTCTTGTAGTTTATTTTGACTTTGCGCTTTTCATAAATGGTTAATATGTAGTTATTTATACTGCTCATAATTGTGCAGAGTGGCACTTGTACTTTGAGCAATGAAAACTTTCACTTACACTTGTGTAATAATTTCATTTAACTACTATGCTACTGTGCATTAATTTCCATCTAAACATAAATATACTACATACATGCATATGCATGTGCAGACATGCATACACTTGTGCACATGTATACATATGTTTTTATTGGCAATCATAAATGTATGTGTGAATGTAAGGGACACGGTTTTACTATTACGAAGGTAAAATGCTTAGTTTCACTTAGTTTTTAGAAATGCAGATCTAAGCAAAATTTCGACTTAAAGTAGAAAATGGCAGCCAGAGCAGCTGTAAAAAATAAGGTTTGCAATGAAATCATCTTGAATTCACTTTTTTATGATTTTTTTATCCTAAATGAGAATAGTTTTTATTTTAATACTAAATCTAGTAGGTTACTTTCAATCTCACTCAAAAAAAAAGAACACTTTCCAAAATAAGAGTTTAATTTTTGGTTTTCGCTCTTTCTACTTACAATTTCATTTTGGCAGTGGTTTGAATTTTTTCTATGCTCTGCAGATCGATTTCGATACGACGATCGAAGTTTCGGGCACAGAGAGTTGTTTGGAAGGTTGTCAGAGCAGTAAGTGATATTTAAGGCAACGAACTGGTAGATGAATTGGCAAACTGCGGTTATGTGTAGCGTCCCATTGGACCGGAGTGTTTCCTGAAAAGGCCTGACAGAATGGTAGCAAAATTCCTTCTCAGACAAAGAAGGAGTGATCTACGATCCTTGATAGGATTGATTATGGGGCACAATCCATGGGGACGACGTATTATGGTCACCATCCGATCCACCATAAGATCCAGAATTAACACCACCACTAACGTTAATCAGGAGATCAAGCGAAGAATAATTATTGCCAACAACTGCTGCTTTGCGCTATATATGCATTCGTAAAGCAAAGCTCTCCCTCGACGATTAAAGATGACGTTCGACAAATCTCTTATCATGGTGCAGAAACAAAAACAAGGTCAAACAACGATGAGAGGACTTTTGGGGGATTTTCATAGTACTGTTTTCTGCAAGAATTATTTCCCTGTTCGTGTGGGTGGGGCATAGTGAAACGCTTTAAGATCAAATGCTTGCGATGGCTTGGACATCTCGTAATCTTAAATGAGCACGCTCCGTTGAATATATCCTTAGATGTCGACCTATGGCGAACAAAATAGAAGGACCAAGTAAAAAAATTTCCGTAAACGTCACGCGTAAACCAAAACGATTTGAGAAATAGTAAATAGTAATCACCTGCTTTAGCAACGCTGCTTGTTGGGATAGTTCCGGAAGTTTTCGAAACTAGTTCAGGACAAGTTCGGGTATAGTTTAGGACAAGCCTGGAACTAGTTTGGGACCAAAGCGGGATTGGTTCATGACTTTTTCGAGAAGTCTTTTACGGGTCTTGTTCGGGACCATTCCGGGATTAGGTCGGGACCAGCTCGAGACTTTTCCGACATCATTTCAGGACTTGTTCAGCACTTTTCCGAAACTATTACGCGTCTAGTCTGGGATCAAATTTCATTAGTATCTAGTTCATATGCCTTTTTTAACTTCGTCTAAACCAACGAACACTTTTAGTGCTAAATGGGAAGAAAAAGAAGAACTAAACGACTTCAGGTTTCGAGTGATGCCCAATGCAACTCCAGAATATATTTTAAAGGACTTCTCATTTATTATAGGACATATACATAGCTATTGGTAGGCTAATTAAAGAAATTTGCTCGAAGACCGGAACATGTCTTAAACCACTTGATATGCATGTCTTGTGCGTAATTTCTTTTTATCGGCACCCTAGATAAGATAAATCGAACACTGCGACCAGTAGGGCTATTGCGTCAAAAAAAAAGCTTGGACTGATTTTAATTTAGCTTTGATAAAGCAATAATTTTTTTAGTTGCTTAAATGATAATTGGGGAAATGGAATGCCTGCTCACTTCTATAGCCAGTTCATGTATCTTTGGGACATTGCATTAAAATTCACTAAAATAAAAATCATATTATTTTGCTAAAAAAATCTGTTGCCTTCTGGATAAGATAGGTGAGAAATAAATTTAAATTACTAAGCAATCGCTTGTTATATGCCATTTTACTCAATTGTTTCTATTAAAATTTACCTGCGTACATCCTTAAGCAATAACTATTTTCCTTTTTCCAACAGCTTACAAATTGTGCTGTGCCCACATTTCAATCAAAACTAACCTTTTTTCAGTTCACAAGCAATATTTTCCAGAATCCTTAAGTCGTTGCAATTTCATTTACAAATCCTTTTGCACAAACATATTCCATTTC